ACCTGGTCGTATAGATGCTCAATTTGCTGAGCTTGTTGCAATACATGTGTAGCCATCAGGTGATTTAATGCAGACATTTCTACCATCTTAGTTTCAGTTTCTTGAACTGTGTCTAGAAGACTAGTCAATTCCACCTATAGGAAAAGGAACATTAGCAAAGGGTTAGGCATGAGAATCTAAAAGCCTCAAATAAATAAGTTGTATTTAAACTTGGGCCCGATTTTATCACCTGAAGGGCACGGGTTTCATCATCCAAAAGTTGTTGCTGGACTCTTAGAGGCTCACTGCGCAGCTCATCAGGTTCCCTGAGCTCCGCATCACCTGAATTAGAGGTTTCAGTAGAATCTTTTCTGGTTACACGATTAAGTTTTCTTCGTGGTATTGCCCTATTAATAGCATCCTGGAAGCGTATAGCTCTGAGCTGATCAAACTGCGCCGTAACAGAATGGAGTCTCTCACTTAAAATTAAAACCTAAAAAATTAAGTAAATATTAGCACCCAAGAAGCAAACAGCATCACAATTGATGAATGCAATAGTATTCAGTGTTAGTGCTTAGTATAACATCCATATCTTGTATTTCTGTATCATGGTATAATCTTGCCATTGTACCAGTTCTTGTATCAGTTAGTTACAGTAGTTGTCGGCGGTTGAAACTGAATATGCTGAGTCACTGATATTCAGTTAGTGTTGGTAAATAGCAGTTATCTTAAGGGTCTATTTGGGAGTTTGGGAGGAGAGGGGAGGGCTTTGAAAAATAAATGAAAGATGGAGTGGAAAGAAAGGAGGGCATAGGGGAGTTTATTTTTCTTCGTTATACAAAATCCCCTAATTCAGAGGAACTCAAATTATATTGGAGAAGGATTTGGAAGGCTTGGATAAGTTCTCCCAATCTAATCTATCTTGTTATAATACTTCCAATATAAAAATATAGTAATTATAAACATTTATTTATCATTCACTACAAATGCGCTCAATCAAAAAAGTTGAAAGACTTCTCTATTTTTTTCTATTCCATTCCCCCAGAGTTCTAAGTCTCTTCAAGCTTCATGCCTATAGAAGGTACACTGCATACTCCTTAAGATATAAGAATCAATTCAATCAACTCTCATGACAGAGACAGAGAGAACTTTCATTTCTCTCATCACATTCTCTCTTCACTCAATCAAATGTGCCAAGTCACATTCTCTCTTCACCGAATACTCAGATCAACTCCTCTCATGACAGAGATCGAGAGCACTTTCAGGTGGTTGAAGCTGTAATCAAATACACAGGCTTCACCTTTTTTTTGTAAATCCTAATATTCCAGTACAATACATATCTGAAACAAACCAAAAACTTGATGGTGTCACTGATGCTTTGAGCTTAGAACCTTTGCACAAATTTCTCAACGAATTAGGCATCATCCATAGATTGACTGGTACTTGCACATCTAACCAAAATGGTTTGGTTGAATGTAACCTGACAAATAGTATAAAAGAGTTAACTCTACTTGCTCATTCGTCCTCCATACTGCTTTCCTTATAGGATCACAGATATTGAGTAGCAGTATACCCTATCAAAAGACTCCCTTCAGCTGCAACTTAATTTTGTTCCACATGACACACTTAATAAGTTCCTACGTGATAACAAGAATCCAAGAACATTGGACGTGCTTGCTTTTCATTTTTGAGGCCTTACAATCAGCATAAAATGGATTTCAGATCCAGGGAATGTATTTCCGGGTTTACCATACAATCACAAAGGGTACAAATTTCTTGCTAAGGATGGCCGCATATGTGCATCTAAGGATGTTATGTTAAATGAGTATTGGTTTCTATATCATATCCTATTCCACATTTCTTCTATGTTTCCTTCCTCTGCCTCTTCATCTTCCATAATCTCTATATGACCAGACTGGATCCAGATTATGCAAGTCTACTCTAAATGAGTTTAGAGTAAATGATTTATAAGCGAGTAAACAAGAAACAACTATTTGACAATATTTGTTGCCTATTCCAGTACAAAAGCCAACTATTGAGGCAAAGGCAAGCACTACTGCTGATATCTTTGGGTTCAATTTCTTAACCAAACTACAGATTCCTACAGCAACTCCAATAGTGATTTGCAACGAACCAAGTGGAATTTCTATTGTCTTAGTCCAGTTTTACATGTTCAGCCCAAGCATAGAATTAGATCCAGGTTTTTCCTGTCAGAAACTAATAAAGAAAAATCTGATAATTTCTCATGTTCCAGCATATAATCAATTGGTTGACTCTCTTATTAAACTTCTCTCTACAACCAGATTTAGTGATCCTTCCTCCATACTCAGGGTGTTTACCAGCCTTGAATTGCAGCCTCCACCGAGTTTGAAGGGAGGCTGTTAGTAAAGAGGCATACACCTTGTGTTTCTGTGTAATATAATCTTGCCCTTGTACAGTTCCAGCATTGCCATATATGTATAGCTTTATTAGCTATGGTATCAGGTAGTTAGAGCAGTTGTTAGCTGTTGTAGCTGCTGAATGTCAGCTTGCAGATAAGATACCTTGATAGGACAGACAGGATAGGGTAAATAATCTATTGGGCTCAAAGCACTGGAAGCTCAATACGTAGAAGGCAATGAGTCAGTTAGTATGCGTTCCTTGATTTCAGGGATTACGGCTGTTCGAGAGAGAGGGGGTTGTGTAGAGATTCATTCAGAAATATTGTTAGAGTTGGTTAGGGGAATGTTCTCTTGGGGTTTAGGACCATTCAACTCTAGTTAGAAGTTGTAGAAACTCTGGTTTATCCTTTCTTCACCATTTTCTACTATTGTAGAGCTTTTGAGCTCATCTTTACCATTAAATAAAATACAATTTCTTTACCTTGATTTTACCAGTTCTATCATACGTTAAGCCTCTTCAAGCTTCATGCCTATATAAAGGTTCGCTGTATATTCTGAGGTGTATGAGTATCAGAATCATTATGATTTAAATTCTCATAGCAGAGAGCACTTTTCTTTCAGATCATGCTCTCCCAAGACACTCTTCACTCACTCAAACTCTCAGTTTCAGTAAACGGAGTTCAATAAAAACAACTTTAAAAAGTACTTGCTGTGCATGAATCTTGATAGCATTGTGGCTAGTGTTTTCCCCCAGGGAAGGGGATGAGCAATCTAGACTGTTCATCAAATGTTTATGTGGGGTTCAGTTGTGTTGTGAGGGTAAGTTGGCAACAACATGCAGAAAATAAGCAACTAATGAGTTAATGACTGAAAAAACCAATAAGCACGAGTCCATACCACCCCATGTTTGTGGGCAATAGTGTCAGCGTTAGCCTTTGCAGTTGTAATGCCAAGCCAACCTTTTGGGTTTTCCTCTTCATTGTTTATACTATTCTTAAGAACGTCAATTTGTTGTTGGCAAGTTTTAATAAAAGCACTAACCTGCACCAAAGTAATAACAAAATAATAGTAAATCATAAGCAGAACTCTGCTCAACATTTCAAGATGATTAACTAATTTATATACAAGTAAGGAATTACAAACTTGTTGGCACCATAAAGAGAGAAAACTAAGGAAAGCTATATAGAAAGGTGACGATGCAAAGAAGTTAATGACAAAAAACTGTATTGATTTGATGCAAGACAGAAGACAGTCTATTTAGTAGTTACATATGTAAAGGAAATAGGTTTCACATATCAAATTTCGTAACAGGCTTAAATAAAGTTCTATTTATTTTATGGATTGCGGTGAGCTAGCATTGATGTCAACAGCAGATGTAAAACCAAGTATGTAAGAATTCAACTTTTCATTGGTTTATGGAACACCTAACCTTAGGGTGGAAGTAAAATGAGAGATTCAATGTGATCTAATAATGATAGCACTAGTAGTCAGGTCATAACTTAATACCAGAGTAAGAAGTGGAGTTTAGTTAGATCTATATATCTATATATAAATATAAAATAATAATTCACAAGCCACATTGCTAGGCTGGCTATGAAAACAAATTTAAATTGAGTGCATTACATCATAGTGAGAAAGTTGTAAATTATCAGAGTTAGAGGCAAGCATAAAATGAAGTAAAGTAATACGTGAAACTCCAAACTACTACCAAAAACCAATCTGATATACTAATGACAGCGATTAAGGCAGTAAATGTAACAGTAATACCAATCAGTATTTTTCTAATTATTAATTAAGATACAACAATACTTTTAAAACTAGCATATCAGTTGAAGACACGTGGCTTACTTCATGCTCAATGCTATCTCTCTCATGTTCAGTTGTTCGGTGCAGATCTGTATAGTCCTTTCTATGCTTTAACAAAAAATGACCCAATTCTCCAATACTCTCGAGCTACTAACAACAAACAAGTAGCAGCAGTATCAAATAAACATCATTTAAAAGCAGGGTTGCGTCCTTTGCTTAATGAAACAACGATAAAAAAACTCTACAAGCAGCACAAACAGACTCATTACATACTATACATTTACTGATTTGATCTTCCCATAAAGTAACTAGTGTTGGCAAATAGTAGCACTATAGCGTAGCGGAATTAGAACATATGACTATTGTTCCGCAATACATTTTTTAGTAGAGTGTGGTCAAATAGCAACTACTGCGGCGCTATAGCATTGTACGGTAGCGGAATTTGAACAAAACGCTATTTTCCGCGATTGACAACACTGAAAGTAACATAGTGCCATAAGTTAGAATATCAATGTTGAGCCTACCGTCTTAAATGCAGCTTTGGAGAATGGGGACCTTTGTGGAGGTTTATGAATAATGAAAGATGCCAAAATGGATGCCAATTTAGCCTGCAAGGGAATGACAACACACCGTTCAAAGTTCAAACCATCCAAAATAACATTGATCCAGGATCATGTTTTTGTAAAGGAAAAAAACATGATTTGAATATAATAGTGAATTGAAGCATCGTATATACCTCATCATATCCCAAAGACCGAGCACTTTGACGCAAGGCGTCTTTGAAATCCTCAGTCCTATCCCTTGCTTTTGCCATCTATGAATACCCCAAATCTGCTATTCACAAACTTTTGCATTCAATAAAAATTGTTATCAACTACTAGCAATTACAATCTCTAAAAACATAAATCTATGAAACACACTAAAACCATTGAAAAGTTTCTCTTAGTAACTAAAATTCTAGTTTATAACCACTTCTACACAGATTAAACGGCACTATTATGCAATCTATGTTGTCAATTGCGGCGGTTTAGCGCGCAATCGAGTAATTGTGGTGCAGAGTCGAGCTTTGATCTACCGGCAATTCGATCACTGGTGCGTTGCATTTTGCAGGAGCCGCAAATCGCGCTGGAATCACATCCATGGGCGATGCGGGAAAGGGGGAAGGGGAATACGAGAGAAAGAAGGAAACCTGGATTTGGTGATTCTGGTTGCCGACGATGAACTCCGGCTCTGCTTTCCGGCGAGTTGAGTTCAGTGCGGTCGACTCCAACTTGTTTCTCGATTCGGGGCTTAAAAAATATTTGTATAGGTTTTTTTATGAGTTAATAAACTTTTTTTTCCATCCATAATCAAAAGTTTAATATAAGGAGGAATAGGTAAGATATTGCGTCGAGTCAAAGAATTGACCGTCTACGTTAATGAGTGAATAATCATATTTGTTTGACGTTTTATAAACTCAACCTTAAAGTTGGAGAAGTTTTGAAGCAAAATATTAATATCTCTAACAATTGAATAAAACTCAGAATTACTAATAGCAATTGTATGTAATGCTTGCACCACTCGAAGAGAGTCACTTTCAAAAATTACTCGATCAAAATTTAAAATTATAGCACTTTGAATAGCTTCTTTGAGTGTCAAAGCTTTTGTTTCTATGACGGAAAGATTACCACCATCACAAGTCACACTTGCTATAAGAAAACTACTTGAATTGTCTCTTAAACACCAACTTCTGTTTGTAGATCCATAAGTCTTGTTAAAATCTGCATCCACATTACATTTGACCCAACCGATAGAAGGAGGACTCCAACTATCAACCTGCTGAATTTTGTCACTCTTAGCTTGGGGTTGTTGAGCCAAAAATCACTCTTGCCACCTATGAAACGCCAGCCAACCTAGTTTGTTTCCTTCCTTTCTCCCATTGTGCCAAATAAAACCATTCATGTTCTTCCATAGTACTAAAGAAAATGAAAAATATATTAAAAACTAAAACAAAAAATTATGGTGACTAAAATTAAAAAAATAATATATCTACAATATAAGAAAACTAGATATTTTTCCTTCAATTGGGTTAAACACGTGGCTGCTTGAGAGGTGAGGAATTTTTTTGCATTTTCGTTGCATTGAAAATTGTCGGTTACCAAAACAAACACATTCTTCTTCAATTCACTTACCCTTCTCACTATTTCTCTTCCACTGACCCCATGTTCTGCATCAGTTACGATTTTCTCACTTTCCTTTTCTTCCAATATCTCGCAAACCAACCACTATTTCTCTCCTCAGAACCTTCTCCCTATATCGCTCTTCCAAACTCCCTTCTCTAACCGTATCCGCAACATCACTCGCTCCTCCCTCCGAATAGGAAATTGCTGACCTCGAGACGTACATTAAATACAGACTTCCCATGGATTCGCCGCTCAAACTATCTTCGACATCGGTCGCTGGAAAACTGTCGTCGTTCGTGTTGTTCTCTAGGAAGAAACAGGTAAATTCATCATTAATTACCGTGACGCTAAGGTCTCTTCCATCCATCTCTTCTTTGTTCACATTATTATTTTGTATATTTTATTTTTAAGCAAATACTTGAACTCTGTTTTCCAATTGAATTGCTATAGTAAGTTCCTTTTTTTTATGTAGCGTTGGAGTTAGAGTTTGATGAGAGACATGCTTCAGTTTGAATGACTTAGTTCTGAAAGTGAAAGGATCTTGCTAACTGGCTAATCAATTAGAGAAATTCAATTAGAAACGCGACTCTATGTAGCACCAATACCTCTGAGGCGTGTCTGTATCTATGCCTGAAACTTACACTTACACTTGTGATTACTTTTATTTTATCTATTTTTCAAATTATTACTGATATCGATGTGTCATTGTCGGTGTTGAATTTTTCTTCCGTTGTTTATCAGAGTGGGCATGGTTTAGGATTGAATTTTACCCCAGATTCAGATTTAAATATTGCCCAGAACTCAATAACCAGAAAAGCATGAGGGAGAAAGGAGGTTGATAAAGAAATGCAGGTTTATCATATTTTCTTGTCTAAGTTATCTTTGATGTTTATATTTTATGCCTCACTTCCTTGTCAGGGAGTTTATAGTTTGGGAATTTCAGATCATTGTGGACATGCAGGAATTCATGAACAGCCTTCCAAATATTCTTCATCAAAAGGGAATATGCATAATTTCAGTGACCCTTGAAGTTGGTGACTATATCCTATCACCTTTAATTTGTGTGGAAAGAAAAAATATTCAAGATCTCTTATAGAGTTTCACACTGGGTCGTTTATACAATCAGATGGAAACAATGTGTCATACTCAAAAATTTCCATATCATTACAATAGTTATATTATTATTAGGTTTCTAAATGAGAAAATCATATTGTGGAGGTTTAAACAAGGGAGAGAGGTGTATTGATCTAAAATGGACCATCAATATCTGATAGGCTATTAAGGTTTCATTCTTTTTTAGAGGGGTGAATTTTTATAGAGAGAGGTGCACGCCATTGAAGAAATCTTGGGCCATTGCTAAATCAGAATGGCCCATTTAGGTTGAAGGATGTATAATCAATTCATTTTGACTAAAGCCCAAAATCAATGGATGACCCATATAAAAACTCAAGTCTATTTCAAATAATCAAAGGAGGGGTAGGCCATCACTTAAGAGGTTTATGGATTAAGGAGAGCCGGCCCATTAGGATTATTGAGGCTTGTTCTTTAAAAAGTTAGGAGGGAGGGGTGTATGTTTAAGTCGAAGAGGCATGTAGCAAATTATTTGTGAAGGCCTAATAAAGTAAACAAATTAGGTCCAGTAAGGTTTTTTTTGAGAAACTGTTTGTTGTTTTATTATTAAAATCTTTGCTTTATAAAATGACTGTTTCAATAATAGAGAAATGCATGGTCCAAATTCTTCAGAGGCTCGGGCCCAGTTCAATTAAGGAAAAATGTTTTGTTTCTAAACAGTAAAAGAAACGCATAGCCCAAAATAGCAAAATAGTTATTGTATCAATCAAAGGAAAAGAACACACGCTTTAGTATTTTAAACGGTTACTGTTGAAAAATGCATATTCTAAAACAGAAACCAAATCAAATCATTATTCATCAATTATCAAATCTTTACATTAATCTTCCAGAACATGACTAAATCAAAATACGAACAGTTCTTTAAATTGAATCTTGAATAAAACAGAAACAAATCAAGTCTTAACTAATTTCATAACAGAATCAATACATTTACAGAACAAATCAAATCCTTAAGTTACACAAAATCAATACAAAATAAAAAATTACAAACAGAATCGCACTAAATCCTTAAAAGCCCTAATCTGCTAATCTATCAAGAAAATTAACGATATTCATAAGTTTATTTCCTAAAATAGTCTAACTCAAAACACTATAAAACCTAAAACAGTAGAAAGAAAAAAAATGGATTTTAACATAAGAAATTTACAGAGAAAAAAATTAAAAGGGAAGAAATCTACAGAAAAAAATTGAAGAGAAGTAACAGAGAAATAGCTTTGAACCACGTCGTCAACTCTTATTCACCACCGCCTAGGGTTTCAACATCTGAAACCCTACTTGAGTTACCGTCGCTTCAATCTACATCGTGTCGCCTTCACAACCACTGACTGGTACCTGCAAAACAAAAAGAGAATCATAGGTGAATCAGTAACGAATTCAGAGATCAGCGAAGGAGGTAACAACTAAACACTTAGCTATAAGGTTTATTTTTGTTGTGTTTTTGTAGGAGATTTGGGGTTGGGGATTGTTGTTGGGGTATATTATTGTTGTTGTATCAGAGAGGAGGGTTTGATTTGGGTGGTGCCGCCGCCGGTTGGAGTTAGGGTTTTGCTGTTTAGGGTTGTTGTTTGAGTGGGGGAAGAGAGATTGAGAAAGAATCAGAGAGAGGGATAGAGGAGAAATAATAAAATAAGTGTAAAAAACAAAATATTAATGCCCCTTCATTCTAGTGCGTGTAAGCCTACTGTTGTACCCCAAATTTTGTCCTCTCATTTCTCAAAGGATCATCTTGGACCCTCAGGTTTGCTTCTATCAAGTTTCAAGTCTTGGATTACAATTTTCTAAGAAAGTCATTCACAAGGGGAAAATGGTCAAAAGCACACTGAAAAGTCAAACTTTGACCTTTTGATCAAAATTAAGTTTCAACAATCATATTTCATCAAGATATAAAATTGGTTCATCAAGAAATCAAAAGTCAGAAATTACTTTGAAAAAATCAAATTTCTAAACACTTGGAAAGTTTTCTAAGTATTAAGAAAATATGATAATCTCAGAACTTTTGGGCCAGATTTCACGCAAGCGCAATCAGAATTTGCAAAGACGATTCAGAACATGACTCTTCAATTAGAATATATGGAAATTGTGTTCTTTGATCAGAACATAACTCTTCAGCATATGGAGACTATATTCTACGCTTCGATCAGAACATCACCCTTTGAATCTCATTCTGGTCTTCTTCGATCAGAACATCACCAAGCCCCAAAACCTCGTTTGAACAGTCTGCTGCACTGCTATGGCACAGTCCTGCATCCAGCTGCCACAACACTCCAAATTGTTGTTGATCCAGTCCACACCTGCATTTTCCTCAAACCCGATATTTGCACCAAATTAGCACATAAAAACTGTGTTTAAAAAGCAATGAAACAGTATGCCAAAAAGGGTTCAAATCCCATTTGTTTTCCCCCCAAAACCACAGCAAGCTCATCTATAAATAAGTTGTTCCATCACACATTTAAAGGGTTAGCTTTTGAAAAGGAGAGAGTGATCAAATACAAGAGAGAGAGAGAGAGAGAGAGAGAGAGAGAGAGAAAAATATTCAAACATTCTCAAAACCCAGAATTCTCAAAAATAATATCTTTGTTCTTCTCTTTGAATCAAAGAACATAACATTTTCTGTTCCATTTCTTGCTGACCCCGGAACATTCAAAGGCAGCAGCTCAGGTCCCAAACGCATGCTTCAGATTCAAGGTAAGTCATTCTGACTTTGAACTTTTCATTCAGAACATCATTAAATATGTAGATATCATAGTGTTGAGACTGTACATATCATTGCCTAAGTAGAAAAAAAATGTGGATCAGAACTTCTTGAAGAAAACTAGGCTCGGAATTAGGATTAGAACTTTTATAAACTGTCGTGCCTTTATTTTTCTATTTTGCTGTTGTTAAGAACTGAATAAGTTGCAGATGCTCTGGCTAATGTAAGGAAGGAGGTGAAGTGTAACACATAACTTCTAGGAGTTTTTCACACTTCTAGGAGTTTTTCTCACTTCTAGGAGTTTTTCTCACTGTTTAACAGAACACAGAACTTCTGATTTTTTTCTCACTATTTAACACAACACAGAACTTCTGATTTTTTCTCATAGTTGTAATACACCAAAACTTATAGGTTTTTCTTTTCTTACTGTTTTAACACACACAAAACTTCTAGGATTTCTTACTATTTAAACACACACAGAACTTCTAGGTTTTCTTACTGTTTTAACACACACAGAACTTCTAGGTTTTCCTCACTGTCTTACACCCAAAACTTCAGCGCATAGCAACCCAAAACTTCTGGTTTCCTCTAACGTTTCTTTCAAGACTTCAGCATGCAGCAACCCAGAACTTTTGGTCTCCTCCAACGTTTCCTTCTGAACTACAGCGTGCCTAGCATCAGAACTTCTGATCCCCCTCATTTTTGTTTTCAGCAACATGTTGATCATGTTTTCGTTATTTTTTCCTTTTTTTCTTTCTTATTCATATTATTTTCAGTATTAATATTATTTTTGTTAATATAAAATATGCTTAAAAACTTTTTTTCTTTTAATTTACTAAAGACAAAAAAACCATTTTCAAAACAAGTCCTTTCCTTTTCTTATATTGTACAATTCAATATGGTTGTAATAGATAATTAGGATTTAAATTCTTGCAAATCCCCATTTGTAAACATGTACCCCCATCCCTGAAATGATGTAATAGCTTAGGATTTATTTTCCGCATTTTATTTGCTTTCATATATGGTTAGTAATTAGGGTGTATGGCAAGATAAAATCAACAAGTAGATAACGTTTAAATGTGAGACAAAACGTATGCAATCAAACACACTTGCACACTAGCACCTCTAGGGTAATCTCACTTTGTTTCCTTTCGGAAAATATTCATGTCCCTCGAATATGGGCGTTTTAGCAAAGACGCTCGATAAAAGATCGTAGTCCCTCGATGACCCTCAATGTTTCCTTTGGTAAATGATCTAGTCCCTAAACGATATTGCTAAAAAGTCCCATAAGTTTCCTTCTATGACTATACAAAACGTCCTGCGCCCGTCCCTTCACACCCAATGATGGGGATTCTTACCAAATCAATGGTAAGGAAGCAATATCTAAAAGAGGAGGAAAAGAACATTTAAGACCTTTTGAGTAGGTAGGTTGCTCCTAGTTGCTCGCTTGCTCACAACAAAAACATTTTATACACCAACACTTTCATTTAAAACATTTTCAAAGGTTAAAAAAAACTTTGTACGTGTTCTTATAGAGATGAGAA